CATCTTGACAGCTTTTAATGAAGCATATGTTTCCCTTTCTAAAGGCAGTAAAAACCAGTGGCAGCCAAAATTGGGTTTTGTCATCTGTGCTGTAAGAAACAGCTGATGGAAGCGTAACAAGAGTGAAAGACAAATTAATTATACTTCTAGAATATGTTAATTGGTGAGATTGTTAATTGGTAATGAATTGGCCTTATTTAGAACATAGTTTTGGCCCAAATATCAAGGAAACAAAAGGAATTCAAGAAATAATTAAACCAGCTTTTTTTGAAGTAAAATTTACTTAGTTTAAGATTGAATACTGTCATTAACCTTGAATATCAGAAACATTTTAACATAACAGTAAGCCGATTCTCAGGTTAAGCTTCAGTATGTTACCCTAATTGCTTTTAGATGTTTATATTCATTTAGGCACTTCCATTTGATCTGCTATTTATGTTATTTTTTCATTTTAGCCAGAAATAAAGCTTGGATGTAAATTCAATCTGGGCGACTCTTATCAGCTTTACCTGAACAACCTGCAATGTCCCTCATTCAGCTCCAGCAATCAACTTGGTAGCAGTATATTCTCTGAAGCCAATCATCTTTCAATATCCCCTTCATTTAGCCCAGCTTCTCTCTCCTGTATGCAAGCAAATTTTCACCCACTTCCACCCCATCCCCTCCCTTATTCTCAGCCCCACTTCCCATCTGGCTTATTCCACCACCAGTGTCTGGACCTCGCGGAAGGACTAATCTTTTCTAGGTTACTCGTCTAAGCTTGATTCACAGCATCTAAGTCTTCCACCATGACCCGAGTACCTACAACTTATTTTGTTTATGTCATCATCTGCTTCTGTTTCCTTTAACCCCAGTCAGCCTCTGCAGGTGGCCGCTCACACCAAGCCTGGTTCTCCTGAAGTTTCCTTCCAGTTTAAATGGAGTTTTCCTCTCCACTGTTGCTACATGCATGCTTGGTCTGAGGGACTGCATACAGTCAAGTTGTTGCAATGAGACAACAACTTTTTTCAGTGTGAGTCTCTCCAGCTTGAATCTGAAGGAACCAGTGAAGGAAACTTAGAAGATTTGGTTAATGACAGAAAGTTGTTTAACCTCAGAGATTAAGAGCTAGTTGCAAAAAAAAAAACTAAAAAAAAAAAAACCTGTGGAGAAAGGCAAAAATCTGGTTAGCAATTCCTCAAAGGGTTTGAATGCGTTAATGCTAATCAAGTTTTTTCCTTCGATTACTGAGAAGGGTCAACAGTTTTTGAAATGACATTATTAAAGTACAGTTGAATCACTACTGATATTGCAATATTAGAAAAAGCTAATTTCTTGACTGAATAAAAGTGTAAATATAACTTTTCCACAATTGTTTACAATTTTAGGTTCAAAAGTGTGCTTAAAAAAAGAGCTGCAATTACTTCATGAAGATAAGGTCTTAGTGCTGCCAAGCTGATAACTCTACCAAGCTACCCAGCCTCTGCTTTCCATCCTATCACTTCAATGTTTCCTCACTTGGTCAACTTGCAGCTAAATAAGCAACTGGTGATGCAGATTCTTCTACATAAAAGCAGTCCACCATTTTTCCATAAGATTATTGTTCTCTTCATCAACACAAAACTACTTTTTAATGGAGCACAACTTGCTATGAACTAGGTCTCCGTCATTGTTAAATTAAACATTTTCTTAGGAAAGTTAATTTTGACACGTGTACATGGTTGGAATATTTCGAGAGAAAAAAATTCTACTTCCTTCATGTTACAGAAGCCTAGATTATTTATTAATGGGATGCCCAAAAAATACTATAATGAAAGCCGGGAAGAATACCAGAGAAAAATGATTGATGGTAGTTTAAAACATTAATAACATAGTAGTTATTTGAATCCTTTCAATAAGATTCATGTAGCACATTTAAGAAAATAAAAATTCATTAACCTTTCACTTTGCTGTAATAAAAAAACAAAGCTATGGAAAATACAATTTTCCAGTAAATATAGCCTAAGCCCAGTCAGACATCAGTGCTACTTTCCAGTTGGTCCACTATGTGGTGCTTTAGTGCTGCCGATGAAAAACTACATCCTACTCTCTAGACAGTATGATGTCAGTGCAGCAGTTTAGCCACAAAGAACAAAAAATCTCTTATAAACCCCTTTAGAAATTAAAAAAGATTTTTTAATTTTGTTCTTTAAAGCTACACCTCTGTTACAGTATTTACTATGAATTTTGTCTCCTTTCAAGCTTATAAGAAATCTTTCACAATGCATAACTATAAGCTGATTACTTTTTAATTTGTTTAAAATTAGAAAAGGTGAAGTTTTCTCAAAGGCTTAAGTGGCCCAAGAGTGGTTTCCCCCCATAGAGTATTGTGTCTCAAGGCTCTTTTACTAAGTAAAGGTTAAAGAGTCAATTAGCTACATAAGGCCCTTGGAAACCCAGTATTATTAGAAACAAACAGAAGCTAGCTAAGAAACAACACTTGATATAGGTATACTCAAAGGTTGTAGTAATTAGGAGACGTGTCCAGAGAGGGTTTTTTGTAACTCAGGACAGTTATTTTAAATATAAACAAACCTCTCATAGGATCATCACTATCACATCTAAGGGGAGACAAGGTGATGGGGATTGTAGCACAAGGAGACCAAGCTGACATTTAGATCAGCAGGTTGTAAAAGTTTGCAATGTTTCAGAGAGATCATACATATCAAGCCTATAAACACAACATTAAAAAATGGCCATTTAATCAAAATCTTGATAGCATGATCCTAAAATGATTGTCCGCGTCACTTTTTTATGCAATGGAATACATTTGTAAACAACTCGCAGCATATTTCCATTTGACCAAAGCATACTACAATTAACTTGGTTCCACGTCTTCTTTTTCTCATTCTGCACCTGCAGAGAAAATGAGCGGCCTCGTTAACGCTAATGGAAACCTTTCATTACAATTAGAGCGATGGAGGTAGCTAGCAGCCCTTTATACAGAGCGTCTGAATTCAGCAAGCAGAGGTGTAAGGTTTTCATCCCGTTTGCCAACATTCACATTTACCCCTTAAAAAAGCCTTGACACGGCTCCATCACTTCCATTAACACACAAGTACTATATTGTTAGTTCCTTTACTGTAGTGATGTATGTAATTCACTAATTAATCATTAAATTTATGTGATTTGATGATGCATGAAGTGAAAACCAACACCTCAGATTTGATTTCTTTTCTTTAGGAGCTTTGCTTTTCCTTCAAAATGCATTGACGGACTTCAGGTGTATTCAAACTAACCTTAATTCATACCTATCATATTCAAAGAACTCAGACAATGAAGAGGATAAGATCTGACCAGCTTGCTGGTCTTTTACATAGACCAGTTTTAATAAGCAACATCTCTCTGCTGTTGATATTTAAGTGGATGCGTGTATAATTCAAACTGCAGGAGACATAAATGGAAATGTGGTGCATGGTGATCCTGGTTTTGAATGTGTGTTGTTGAGGTGAAAACTCAAATGGAGGTGTGTGTGTGCACCACAGCAGTAACTGTAGAGGTGCGTGCACACCTGTCTCACTATGAGAGTCAGGGTGGGGTTGCCATGATTTTGTTTGACCCCTTCAGTTCACTACGTTTTGTTTCACTTTGTTTTTCAATATTCGTTCCTGTTCTACATGTTAATCAACTGATCTCACGTAATTTGCGATTTTCATCCCTGTGGTGCTGTCTTAACTTGTGCTGGTGCTAATAAACAAAACAATGAGCATTCTGGAAGTCAGTGCATCTTTAACGATAAACTATCAAGCCAACACAAATAGGGCAACAAACGAGGACCCGACCCGACTCTCAGTGGCTAATAGGATCTGGTTGGAAGCTGCAATACAAACAATGAGGCAAAAATATATGTTTATTGCAAGATACAAAAGGAGGAGACTTTTGCTTCCTAAGAAAACTATTAAAACCTCACAAATTTTTGGGTTTTTTGGGCCGGTGGAGCAGACACCATGTTTAGTACAAATCTAATACAGCATTACAAGAAACCCTATGAAGCACAGAGTTGAAATGTCATGATGCTGGAAGGCTTTTCTGAAGAGGAACATGCATCATAGATACCATGAATTCTACCAAGTATCCATGGGAGCTTAAGTAAAATAGCTAGCTTTGGGAGACCTATAACTCACAAATACCTCCCACACTCCTTTAACACCTGAATGTGTTGCTGGGGAGACTAAGCACCACCAGGTTCCTCAGTCTGCATATCGGAGGAGATAAATAACACAACATGACTGGTAAGGAAATTTAGAAAGTGTCCTAGATGCACACCTTCCAATGAGCCGGTGCATCACACTGAGGTCAGAGTTGCTCAGAGTCCTGTAAGAATGTATCCATCGTACGCTTTGTTTCATCAGGCTGTTGGGGGCTTATGCCCAAAGTAACTATTGCTGCCACATTCATACACATAGATGCAACAGAGGAAAAATAGCTATTTTATTCTAAAAGCCACAGTTTTGGTTCCAGATTGAACAGTTCAGCTCAGGGTAGGCTGACAGGGTACACCGTTATTTTACACCTACATGTTCGTTATTTTTGTCTTTTACTTAAATCTTGTATCTAATCATGTAACCTTTTTTTGCACTAGTGGGTGTACATGTTTGCTTCCTAATTCCATTGAATTGAATCATTTTATAAATTCAACCTGAGTGTGAGGATGACGATGTCACAGCATACACTCAATGTGTGACATGATTAAACCTGTTAAGACTTTATATGTGACTCATCTTTATTTTCATTTAAAAAAAAATAAAAAAGTGTGATAGCCAGAGTTAATGTGTTTCACATGCCTCTATTGAATGGTAACCCCCCCAAAATTGACATAAATTAATAGTGTTTATATAACAGCATCCCATTTATAATTGATGAACTAACAGAAATGTAACTTTTCTTTCACTTTAAAATTTGTTTTGTTAAATGTAAATCGTAATATCTTCTACAAATTAGTTGTATTCTTATTAGATAAGCCCTTAATCAGCTGAACTCACCTTATTGCCTCCATCATGCATTGCCCAGCCTGTGCGCTTCACCCCAAAAGCAGCGAGGGTATCAGATGCATCCAAACAGGTTACAGGATGACCATAAACAGAGTGCAGAGTCCTTGGCTCCTCCTCCTGAGGATTCAACAAGTAGACGTCTTCTCCAGCTGCTAAAACCACCATCGGGGACTGATCTACCCGATTGGGTACCAGAGTCAGGCTGTCTACCTGTCCAAAAAAAATAAAGTGTCTGTCTATCTGTGTGACTCCCTCATAGGTCTATATCCTAATATTCCCATTAGCAAAAAGCTAAGCAAAGTGTCCTACTTACTGTTTTGGGTAGCCGAGTCTCACAGACAGTCCTCCAGTATCCACAGTCGTTGGCGCTGTCCAGCCGAACATTTGATCCTGTGGCTGAAACCAGGACGGGACTGTCTGGGCTCAGACCCAGAGCCTGAATCCTCCCTGCAATCTGGTAGTGGTGGATGGGCTCTCCGCCTGTTTCTGTGCTCCACAGGTCTACACAACCTACACCAGAAACAAATGCTGAATAAAATTGCTCTGATGTCCAGATACTGAACAGCTTTGCTGCTATGCCTAATGCTTAGCAGGTTTTCAGATGGATAGATGATGTGCAGAACCATTATCCTATAAATATTAGAGACAAAGCAATATGTCATCTGGCTGATAATTTCAGCCAGTTTTAGTGTTTACCAGATGTGCGATACATGCATGTCTTCTCTGAATTATTAGTGCATTGAGTAGCCATGCCTTGATGCATGCATTGCAGCTCCATCCCTTTGCTAAACATTGTTAATATTTTTTGATTTTTAGATAAATTTGTTTTTCAAATTGTGGCATGTGTTGCAGTTTTTAATCACTGTGTAATTTCTAACATTAGTCGGTCTCTGATATATATAACCACCTGTTTGTTTTAAAATGTCTTATAAAGTGCTGGTGGTCTTTATAGCGATAAACTTGCCACTATAAGCTAAGAATTTCATTTCAGGGCTGGACGTCAGTGATTCACTGTTTAACATGTTTTATTAGCTGTATGGTTTAGCTGTGTCACATTTGAAAAAAATAAAAGTTTCATACATCAGTGCCTCTTTAGTATTCTAGTTTTTCTTTATGATTACTAAAATCAATGTCTGTTATTTTACAGAAGCTTCATTAGGAGAGCGTGCAAAAAAATTTAAGCAGGGTTCAAAAAATATTTGCCTTTTATTAAAGGTGTTTTTTGCTTTAATTTTAATTTTATAGTGACTTGGATGAACCAATTCACCCAAGTAAAGATGAATTTAATTTCAGGCTGTTTGAACGCCTTCACAGGGGGGCGCTGTATGTCAGGATTCTAATTTCAATGTTCAAACCAAACATTTAGTGCCCCTTTAAACAAATCCCCACTCACCATCCTCATATGAAGCAGCAGCCACTGCGCTGTTGATCTGAACATGGCTGACGTGCGGTCTAGGGTGTGTGTTCGCTGACAGACTGTTGGACTTGAGGTAGGATGATGTTGAGTCCCAGTGCAGCGTGTCCCAAAGCCTCACATCACCAGATGTGTACCTTTAATATAAACACGGCAGGGTTACTAGATATTGATTAAACGTATTTCTTACATGTGGTGTTGAAAATTAGAGTAGTGATATGACGCTAACATTCAGCTAAATAAAAACCCCAAAGTTCCTTTCAGCGCTTAAAGGAGTTCATTGTGAGGAGCAATTCGTTGATGGCCTTAAAGAAGAGGGGGAAAAATTAGCTTTGCTTTCTGTATGAGGAACAATTGTCTCCTGTAGAGAGCAGCCCTGACCTCTGACCCCCACATACCACCTCCTCTATCTCCTCTCCTGCTGCCATCTTCACAGATACAATCATGCCTAAGCCCCTTGGAGCTGCAATGTGTCTAACAGTAACAGTAACAGCCAGTTTGATACAGAGTGAATATGTTAGTGTGTGGGTGTGTGTGTGTGTGTTTGTGTGGATTTGCAGGGTTTGGCAAGATTAGAAGTGCACACTTTTTCCTTAATTGGTGCATCATCAAAATGCCAGCATGACGAGGATGTTGGATCTCTCCCAACAAACTTATGTGGGAAGAAGTTCATCTCAGACTTTGTGCAGACTTCAGCAGATCTGTTCTGTCGCTGTGAAAAAATTAATGGCTGATGATCCTGCAGCTGCTTTTTTTTCCCTTTTTTGTTATTAAAGTCCTTTAATAAAAGGTTTTCTGTAACCAATCAAATTGATTTCCACTGCTCTTAATTGCCATTGATTCTTTTCTAAACAAATTAAAATAGTTTCAGTTAAAGGATTATGAGGAAAGTATTGACATCATTAATATTATAGCAGCGTATGCATAAATTTAACAGCATGTTCACATCACATCAGGCAACTTAATGAATGTCCTCAGTGTTTAGATACTGTGTGTTCCGTGTATAATTTTAAACCATACAAACAGGCTGCCATCTCTGAAGGGATCCAGCAGGACTAATGGGAATCTAGTAGAGTTTGTCCCATGAGACGCTGCAGATCTCCTAAAGGGCCCTTTATTGAGCCCCTAAGGTCCCTCACAATTTATCACTGCCTCATTCCAGCTAGTTCAGGGCAGGTTTAGCTGATTAAGCAGCAATTTATGTCCTCCTTCCTCAATAAATACAGTTGTTACTGTTATTTAGAGGGAACTTTATTGAATAAGCAGTGATGTGACTATGTGCACTTGTGGTGTAGCAACTAAAAACGAACAACTTACTCTATTAAGGAAAAATGTTGCCATTTGTTCCGATAAAGGACATCAGATGTCAGACATAGGGCTGTAAGGTGTGACTGAAGTCATTAAAACTGATGCATATATCTGTATGAAACATGTTTCATAACACTGGGCCATATTCTTCCATTGCTCCAGGTGGTCCAGGTGTAATGCTTCTGTGCCCACTGTCATTGTTTCCAGCAGCGGACAAAGGTCAGCATGGCCACTCTGATTAAGCGTAAGCAAAATAAACTGGGATCCAAACTGTTTTCCGACAGCGTTTTATCATAAAATATCTGTTGTAGTAGCCCACACAGGCCAGCCCTTCACTCCCTCAGTGCATTGATGAGCCTTGAGTGCCTGCAACCCTGCTTCTGGTTCCCCACTATCTCCCCCCTTGGACCACGTTCTGAAGATATAGACAATTAGACTGCAGTTTAATGCTCTATATTCAGTTCAGCTATTAAACTGAATTCTTCCGGAAAGGTTGATATTCTGGTCTTAAGGTACAAATTTCATCTTTATAAGTTATCCTTAGTGCTTGTTAATGGATACAACTGGAGAGTTAAGTTTTTCTCAGGTTGCTACCTTCATTTACAGCATGGTTGTAAGGGGTAGTATAAATACAACGTTTTAAGATAACTACACCCTGTCTACTTTTAAGGCTAGACCTATAACTTTCATTTTAAATAAACCTTATAGTTAGAGTGACTCAGGTTGTCCTGAGCTACCTCTATAGTTATGCCGCTATAGCCTTGGGTTGCTGGAAGACAAAGGACCACAATTCATCATATATAACATTCTGCAATGTTTGTTAGTTCAGACCCTAACTTTATGCTCTCTCTACCTTTTCTCATCATAGTAGCCTCATCTGGTCTTTTCCTGTTTGGCTGAAACACCATCTTGGACAGAAATAGCTGGACTGCTGCCATCAACATCTTTCGTTATAGATGACAGAGTTCGGAATTTTTTAGGATCTAGTCCCGTTTCTCTCCCAGACAGATTTACGGACTTCACTTTAACCTAGGCCAACTGCATGTGCTCTCTTTCATCCCTTTGACATGGAAACCGTCTCAGAGCTTATCTGCTCCACTCTTTCTTTTCCAGACAGAGCCACCTGTGGAGCTAGTTTATTGGTACCTTTTCTAACATAGAAAGCATTTATAGATCAGAGTTTATATGTTCATTTTTTATGTCTATTTCTGTCTTCTTGAACCCCCAGTGGGCCTCGGCATAAGAACGCTCACGCCTAAAAATTAATTTATTGTTTGAAAAAAAAAAAAAAACCTGGGATCATTCTTCTGTGCATATGATTTTATTTCCCTTTTCTTAAAAAAATAAAAAAAACAGGAAACAACCCGAATATAAATATGACTGATTTATTTATATCTGACTTGGTCAACATGTTAAAAAAAAAAAAAAAAAAAAAAAAGTGTCATTATCATTATCAAGTATCATCTCTGTGATTTTTTTGGCCTGTATACTGTTACATGGAAAAATGTCACTTCTTTCCTTTGCTTCCCGCTGCTTCCTTTTTGTTTGCCGAGTCCAATAATCTCAGCATGTCCCTTTTTATGAAACTTATAGAGGTGTTTCATTAAGTTGGCGGTGTTATAGTTTGAAGATTTAACACCGCCCTTTGGAACATTTCTCCCACATATAAATCCTTTTGCACGCTCCATCATAAACAGTATGGCCGTGTTGTGTTGTTGCGCTGCCGTATGACGGCAGAGCATAGCAATAGATCGGCCCCTATATCGAGTCAATTGTCACCGATACCGATCAATTTTCTTTCTTTATATCTGGACCGATACTGATAAAAATATTGGATCGGTGCATCCCTAATAATAACCCAGCTAATAAGAGTATTAAACCAACAATAAATTAAGAAACCAAACTTTATAAAAAAGATGTTATGTAGGTAGCTGTGTCCTCACTGGCATCTAGTTGCCTGATGAACACAATGGCTTCAGTTGGCAAAGGAAACATTAACCTCATCCCCTGATTTACTTTACATTGCAACATTTTGGCATTGGTTTAGACAGGGATGTATAGCATTTTCTACATTCATTTACTCATCATGTATTAAATCACAAAAATCTATGAACAAATTTAATTTAACATGACAGAAAAATCAATGCAGATGAAGCAAGAACAATCGAGCTGTGTTAAAACAAAGAGGATATCAGACGTAGATCCGCTCGTCCTTGAAACTCACCCAGCCAAAACAAAGTTGTCACAGGAGCTGACGCTACACAGAATCTTGCCCAACTCGAACTGCAGCTGGCTGACGGACCCCACTCGGTTCTAAACAGGCAGAGATGTTGGGCTTAAAACTTTAAACAATAACAATTATAGGGCTAATTACAAAAAGTATGGATTAGACTTTTTTTTTTTGCATAGCAAACTCAAACCTTAGTATATTTATTTCTATGTAATAAATCAACAGGTAGTTCAAAATTCTGAAGGTGAAGGAACATTCCTACAAAAATCTAAAAGAATGAGGTGCGAGTCGGATGATATCTTGTCTCTTCCTTGCATGCCATTCTTCCTTACAAATTGGATCTAGCATAGCTGGATTTAATTAAAAAAACATCTATCTTTCAATACTTATTGAAGACCCTTATTTTGATTTAGATTAGGGCTCATGTTCCTTAGAGATCTCTTAGCAGTCATATGGTGGCCCACTAGACGTCATCGGTCTACAATTAGATGATGAAAAGAACCAAACTCAAACAGCTGATAATCAGTTCCCTGGCATTTTGTAACGACCTTTAACAGAAAAATCTCATTAATCCACTAACCAGCTGTTGTTTCTTCTATTTCTCTCCATTTTGCTCTGACCAACAACCCAGAACAATGCTGCCACCACTGTGCTCCACAGCTAAGATGTGTGCAACTTAACTTTCCACCACACACCATGTTGTTAAGGATTAAAATGATCAGTACAGCCTGAAAAGGTGCTTAGATCATATAATGTCTAGAGATTGAGACATTTAAATGTCTTTCCTCAATCAGCCGGGTAGCTCCTTGCCATTATTGATGAACAAGCAGTTGCCAAACATGTGGTATTTATTGATGGATTGACACAAACAGTTGTCTACATGCTGTCTAAAAATCTGAGTAAAATTAATCCTTCCCATGAGTCGTGTGAATTAATGTGATTAAAAACTCACTGAATAGTTGGAAATATGAAAAAATGCAAAAATGGAAAATAAAAATGCAACCAAGAGTTTGAGAGGTGAAAAAATATGCATTTAAATTGATAAAAGGATTGTCAAAATAGCAAAGAACCAGTCAACATTTGGGTTCAGGATGAAAAATGTTTGCTGTTAGTTGTGAACACTGCATACAAGAGACTAAGCTGTCAGCAAAAGTTTACCATAAATTCCAACTGTTATCCAAAAAAAAAAAAAAGAAAAGAAAATCCTGGGCCTTCAAACTTATCAAAGAACACATTGATTTTCCAAAAAATAAATAAATATAACTCTTAAAAAAGCCCACAGAGTTGATGAAGCTGAATGATTCTTCTAAAGTTTAGGTGCTGGACAGTTTGTCTGTATAAATCAATAAATACTTAAGAATATATCAAACATTATTAATTAATTAAGGAAAGAAATAAGCCAAAACATTATATTAAGAAAACAGGCTTTTTTTCCACATTTGCCTTGCAGATTTTCAGACAAGGCATGTGACAAAGTTGGAGTCATATATAAGAAATCCGTCACACTAAGGGAACAGAGAATTTTTATTATATGAACTTCAAAAGTTTTAATTATTTATATGATTGTATGTCTTTGTGTAGGAGAGACCAACAAGATTACTACGGTACTATTGGATGGCCAGCCCGATTCTCCTTGGTCAACTCCGTGCAAAAGCAAGTTCTCAGAAACAGTGGATACAAAACAAAATATTAGCTGAGTGATCCACAGGTAAGCTAATCTTCTAAGGTTTTCCTGTTTGTAGAGCAAAATTTTTAGTTTGAAAGGAAAAGCTTTATTCAATGTTCTTTACCATCTGCAAAGTTGGAAATAATTGGGTGAATTTTCCTCCCGTTTTGTTTTAAGGACAGAATATGTAATTTATTAAAATAAAAGCATCTATAGCGAGATAAACCTAAACCTGACAAAAGGGGACACAATACAACAGGGATATCCTATATGTACATTATAAAAAAAACAATCATTAATCATATCACTTTCATTACACAGACATGCACAAACTCGTGTTGACTTCTTCATAAAACACTAATAAATCATAGAAGCTGTAATGTCAGAATTTGATGGAGTTTCAAGACACTGAACATTATGATTGTTTTCTCATCAGCGGATAAATCATAGGACAGTATCAGTGATCTAATGGTTATTAGTAATGAAATTTATTATAAAAATTAGCGGGCAAACACTGCAGACATCAGGATCTGCCGTTTATCACGTACTAATATATCGTCTAATTTGCATCAGTCGACTATATGCTATTCTCACCTCTCAGTTTTAGTAATTTGATTTAAAAAAGGTTCCTGTTTCAGTGAAGTAGAGCAGCCAAACCCCCACCTTCCAGTTGGAGCGGACACTCCTGGCCGCGCTCCTGCAGTCTCGCAGAGTGCTCTTCCAACAGGGGGAGTTGGAGACGCTGGCATCCTGGTGGTAACCCTCCCTCTGGCACAACCTGAACCATAGAACGCCATCCTCTGCGAGGACTCTCCATGCCCTGCTCACCTGGGAGGAGATTGGACAACGTGACAGTGGTTTGAGTCAGCATACATTAGGAGCTTGCATCACTCATTTCTGCTTAACGAGCCCGGGCGCCTGCCAAACGGGCTCTCTTCACCACAAGTGCTGTGGATCTGCCACTCAAAATGTAATTTACTATCATGCCCCAAATAAAGTCATGAGCTGCCCAAAGCAATAGAGAATAAAGACGGTAACTGTAATTAAAGTGGCCAAACTACGGTGCTACACAAAGAAACAATAAAGCTAAAGTTATTCTTGGATTTTACTCAGAGTTGACATTTATAATTCTCTTAAAATTATGTTTGATCATCTGTTTTAATTAATACAATTTTAACCCTTCAAAAACTGAATGATATACATGAAAGACAGGCGAGTCTGAAAGTGTCATTCTGAAGGAGGAGGTTTAAAAGTTCAAAAGCAGACAGGGGGTGGTTAGAAGTCTAAAGTGAAAATTCTATCAAAGTGTGACAGATGAAAGGAAAATGGTCTTCTTTCAGCCAGCTGACTTGTAGTGTGCAGCAACAGGTGGGAGCAGCATGTGACTTAACAAGCAATGCAGCCAAAAAAAACCTGATCAGTCAAAAGACTTTAAACCGCAAGAGCCGCATTATGGAGAAGTGTGAAAGGTCTGAAGCCAAAACCTTTAGGGTATGCAAAGCTTTTCATATCAGATCAAATGATAGTCTGAAGTAGAGGATAAAATAAACTGTTTTTTTTCCAGTTCATCAGTCAGATTAGTTTCTGCAGATCTCAGGTTTTCAGAGAAGCACAGAACCAAAATCTCACCTTAGCCTGAGTAGTTCTGCTGCTGGGAAAGCAGCAGGGTTATAATAAATTATTAAAACTAATGAAAAAATTCAGAAAACACTCTTGTCAACTGAAATACATGAGAACTTTAAATAATAGGAAATGGAACTGTAACTGCGCTGTGAGTAAAAAAAAACGGATACAAATAATACTCGCCTTTGTTATGGTGTTTATTGATCAATTTAAAAGCTTTGCAAAATGAATAAAAAAGTGTTTCTCGTAACTAAACCACCTTTTGAAAGTGGAATCTTGTGTCTTTACTTAATATAGATATAATTGCACAACATTCTGACCTTTTCGATACCTGCATTTAAAAAAATGAGTATAAAAAGACTAAAACTAGTACTAAAACCTGTATTAAAAAAAATTAAACTAAGTAAGCTTTGGAATTAGAATGATAGAAAACAACAAACCCAGTTAAAAAACTAATGAAAATTAAAGGAATTAAAGATTTTTTTTTAAAATAAGCCAAAAAGAAATTTCCAAAACTAAGTTTCACTCAGAAAACCTAGGGGGTCTACGTGGTAAACAATTACATCTAGTAATATGCCTTGATACCTGTAGTTTGGCTAGGTATCAAATATGTATAAATGTAAATATAAAAAAAACACATAAATGGTGATTTGACAGCATTACTGACCTTTTTTTTTCACAAGAATTGTAAGCTGTATAAAAGCAATCTTAGGACAGCCAATTCATTTTGTGGGAAGGGACTTTCTGCCTCACGTTTTTGTGTCCGTTTTTTTCAATTACATAACATAAACAGCCCATCCCCATGCATGCATTTGTTTTCTTTTTGGGATTTTTTTTGCAGCTCACCTGAGCACAGCGGCCAAGTTCTGCACAGTTGAGATACTGGAATATCTTCAAGGCCAATTCGTAGGGTAACTCAACGTCAAAGAAAGGAATGTCGTTGACTTCGTTCTGCAAAGAAGGAGAATTGCAGTACAACACATTGGATACACTGACTACTTTGCTGTGAAAAAGTCTCACGGCACTCTTAGATTCATTCTGTTTTCGCTTTTTTTAAGCACACTTGCTTTAGCTTATTTTTTTTAATCGCACTTTGTTATTAAAAAATTTAACAAACTTTATATCAAACAAACAGATCAGGGTAAATATAAAATTATGTTTTCATATAATTTTTAAACCAATCCGGCCTTATTAATAAGAAATTAACTAATATTAACCACGTTACGGGGTTAATTTTTCACTAGCTATGGTTCGATCCAGGCTTGATAATAATCTGATCTGTAGAATAACCTAAATGGGAACATGAATCAGGCTAGTCAAAAAGTACAAGTTGTCAAAAAGTAACACAGGATGAACCAATCTTAAAAAAATTGAGAATAGATGAGAAAAAAAAAATCATCTGTCTTTTGGATCACAGCAAACCAGAGAGAGACTTTCTAAAGAAAACATGGAACAATAATAACCACATGGGAGGTTATTATTGTTGTATTATTCCATAATTAGATTATACAGCAAAAATATAAACAAAGTTAAGAATTTAGAGAGCCAATATTATTTTCAAGTTAACAAATGTTACAATACGACTGAATTAACAAGTCATACTGATGAAAGAAGCGCCAGTTTAAAATAATACTTGATGGCACCATTACTATTTTTGTACCATTGTTTATGTACTTCAGGCCAGACAGCTCAATTACTTTGATGAATCAAATCATGATGTTGAACTGATTTATTTATTTATTTATTCACTTGTGCAACAATTCTGTTCCATTATTTAAGCAATAATTTTCTGAAAGACATCAAAAACTGAAGATGATTGTAACTGTAAAGGTCAACTACGTTTGCATGACCCTGTTTGAACAACATCCTCCCAGCCATCATACCAGATCCTGAATGAGTTGATCCACAAGCTCCTCTTCTTTCTTCACCTTCCTCTGAGGCTGCCTCTGCAGGGATGAAGTGCACATGTTGCTCATTTTATGATACAGCCTTTTTCTATTCGTTCTCTCCTTCTCGATCCTGTCCAGCAGGGGACTGGTCCTCCCATCCAACAGGCTGTGAGCAATGGAGACATACTGAGGCTGATCTTCTACCTCCGCAGAAGCGGTTCGACCACAGATTATTCCCTCCTTCTCGCTGCAGCCTGGATCCTCTAGTTTTAAACTAGGTTTTCCGTCTCTCAGTCCTGAACGACCAGGATCATCCCTGGAGGAAGAGGAAGGCGAACGAACGAGTCGATTCTCTTCTCTTCTGCCCTTTAGTTCTTGTTCCCAGCGTTCCCTAAAGGCAACAAGCTCGTTCGTAGCCATGTCATCCTTCAAAGTTTAAATAATGGCAGTTTAACTAAACAGAATACGAAACTATAGGAAGCTCCGAGGGACCGACAGAAACCAGCGCGCCCTTCTTAATAAACAATCCGAAGAGGAACAAAGCAGCTTTATATTGGTTCCGCTAGTTGTTTTTAATTCCTCCTTTATATGATACTTATTTTATTGCTTAAGTTAGCAGTTGAAAATTAGTAGTTAAACATGTTAATAACGAAGCATTTGTTATCTATGTGGGAGATTTATTCAAATTGTGAACTGCATTTTTTTTTAAACACTTAATAGGACACAATGTTCAGTCTCCTTAAACAAAAGACTTCAAACATTGGAGATTGGAGTGTTAAGCACTGCATCTTTTATTTGGGAGAGAAGATGATGTAAACCCTAAACACCATGTGACGTGGTAATGAATAATATAGCAGTTAGAGGTGGAGTGAGTCTGGGGAGCGCAAACACGGTTAAGGTTTGATAAGGGAGCAAGAGGAGGGTTCATATATCCTTCCCCCGATTTAAGGAGGAAAGGGACAGCACGGCTGCTCAGTCAGCGAACATGTGCTGGTTACCGATAGACCAGCCTCTGCTGCGGCCGGGAGACTCCAGCTGTAGTGCGCCGCACCGACGCTCCTTGGCTTGCTCCGTAGCTCAGCTGCTTGCGTCGCGGCTGCGGAGGATCGGAGATCAGCTGGAGAAGAGCTGGACAGCCGGGGAGACTGTGGGAGAGCTCGGCTGCGGGGAAAGAAAGGCGGTGAGCGGGTGCGGCCACTTCAAAGGCTTCCTGTGCCTCGCGGTGCACGTCACCTTACTTGTGCTGATAAGCGCGAGGCGACACCTGTAGGGCGCGTGGGCTGCGTCTTCCGCAACAGGTGAGACAGCGACATTTTAATTAGCTTTGACACTAAGGAAATGTTTATATGTATAAAATGTTAACTTTTTTTCTTCTTTAAGAACACCGGTTAATTAGACAATAAATTGTGAATTTTATTTCACAATGCAATTATAACAAAGAAAAAAATGTACAAGCTTTAGGAAAAAATAAATAAAATAAAGCCCAATTTTATTTAAACAGAATTCTATCTAATGGCTAAAATCAGTCAAATATATATTTGTTTTAAATTTTTGTTTTAGTTAAATATTTCTATACAATAAGAGGAACAACTTAAAGCTGCTGAATGTCTAATAATATTTACCACACTGACATGTTTGTCTCTGTAGGGTCTAATTCTATGAAAATATTTGATTTTTTTATGTGAATAAATTTCTCTTACTCTAGATTGGTGCCTTTAAAAAAAAAAAAAATCACACATGCGGAACAGCAAATGGGCTTACATCATTTGCACTTAAAGAAAGGGATGCAAGAGGATGCTGTCGCTGAAGAACCGAGATGTGCACAGACAGAAGAGGAATGAAGGCTGAAAGATGTCATGTTTCAGGGTTGAAGGCTGACTGAATTGACTGAGCTTGTGCTGTGGATGGATTTGAAGTTTGAAACAGAGCAGTCTGCAGTTGTCTTGCCCTCCCCCTTTTCTCTCTCCTCCATTCTGTCATCCCATTTACAAAACAAAACAGTGATGTAATCCTCCCCCGGTACCGGCGGAGGGAAAAGCTTACTAATGGTACGCCTTTAAATGTTTTCTTCTCCGATGATGCGAGTGCATCAGGGACAGTTGAGTAAAACGGATTTGACCTCACGCATACAGGAAGTAATTACTACTGGAAAACTTTAAAAATGCACTGAAATACACCTGTTCTAAAGCTCCAAAAATGCACTGTACTTTTCTAGATAAGCTAAACTCTTTGTACACATGTAAATAATGGACGAGGCCTTTTATAGGTGTCTTTTTTTTTTTTTTTTTAGTGTTTGGATCCTGTTTAAAGATTTGTGTATGTTTTATTGTTGAGGCTGTTATGTAGCGTTTTACCTTAAACAAAAATGCTGGACCTGTTCATAAAATGCTTTTATGCTGTTTGTGATTCCTAAGAATAAGCTTTTCTTTTTCTGATGTAAAGTTTTTTTTTTGTTTTGTATCAACTGGGATCTTTTTATGTCAAAAATTTCTAATAAATCTTCAACAGTTCTGATAATAAACAATGAAAGCTCTTCCTAAGGTTGTCTTTAATTGCAACATGGATCACAAAAATGAAACCAAACTACACTGCTTACAGTTTAAAACCGAAGCAAAATTGAATTCTTTAATTTAGGGAGATAAAATTAACCTAAAACTTTGCAAAGAGGGTAGCTTTCCACTGCAGATAATGCTGAGGTGCCTCATTTAAACCACATACAAGGTGAACAGTAGCTTTACATAAAATATCACAGGGAATATACACAGATTTTAAATTCGTGTTAATTCTTTACCCCGTCATGCTTACAATAAATCAATACCTACTTATGCAAAGAAAGAAAATATACTATAAAATAACAGCTGACCTTGATGCCATGACTCGGTGTGGATAATGTCGTTATGCACGTGTACCATCATTTAGTTTAGAAAACTGCAAAAATTCTCATTCTGTATGAGAGTTCACTGGGGCATGGTGTAACTTCCTTTAAAGCGCACTCCCATCCCTATGATCCTGTGAATCTTGTCAGAGAGCTCAGTATATCTGGAAGTGAGCGGACGTGGTGCCGTCCTTCCAGCATCGCAGGGCCTCGACGACAGTGGAGCGACACAGAGGGCACGTTCTCTCGCGGTCGAACCACAAACACAGGCACTCCTCACAGAACACATGCTGTAGAGGATAACAAAGCACAACAAGCCTCACTATAACTCTATTAAGAGACATGGCATCTTAAAATTATGTGACAAAGAACTTTTTTTTTTTCCTATCAAGCGGTTTTTTGTATTGGAATCAATCTACATCAGGCTGTTTTCCTATTTTATGAAGCATCCCCAAAATCTAGATGCAGTCACCACCATTCTCTGGAGCCCTTTTGCTGTTATGTACATTTTAATGATGTCTTTGATTTAAAAAGTATTTTGATAATTTGCTCCTAAAAATAAAATGCCAACTTAAAAAACAAAACAGGTTTTTGCACCATTACCTACAGAAAGTAATCGGGGCAAGCTGTCATAAATATATTTTTGGATTTAGCTTTTTGTGAGCGTCCTGTCCGAAATATAATGGGTCTGGTTGCCTTATAGTGTTTTCTCTTTAACCCCCAGATTCCACATACTCAGTCAGCGCTCCGCTCCGCACGACGTACATCAGCGGGGCGCTTGTCTTTCATGTAAATCAATGAGAGCTGTTCCACAT